ATAAATATTCATTTTCTAAATTTTTTAGGGGCCCTGCAGGGTGGATAGAATGTCTTGGTGGGCCAGAACTGACCCATGGGCCATATTTTGCCCACCCCTGGGTTAATTGCACTTCCTCCCAACTGGGTACAGCACCAGGACCAAATAATCAGGCCCGGCAAGACACCTCTTCAGGTGGAAGGAAGAGAGCTAGTGGAAAGAGGATGCCCCCCATAAGTGCTGTGGGCTAGATCTGCCCATAGACTAAGGTGTTACAACACTGAGATGGACAGAACCTTGCTACTACCCACTGTAGGCCTTGCTGAAGTATGATTTAATACAACCATCTTGTCATCCAGTTGAATCCATGGCCCCATATCTGGCACCTAGGCTCCAAGGCATGAGCGGACAAGGGTGCTTAAGGGTTGGATCCAGAAACTTAGTACATGGAGAGGGCAGTTAAATTTGCTAGAGGTGAAATGTATGTCTGAAGCCCCATTCCTCTTCCATACTTAGGATGTGGGCATACTGCAGGTTTTTAGTGGAGTAATTTGACTTTGCTTTGGTGTGAGTGTGGACTGGACATAGGACATCAGCACATGTCACTTCTTGCCACACTTTCTCCTCCTTACTCATCATCTCAGTGCTTAGGACACTGACGGGATGGGAGAGACCTAGGTTCTAGACCTACTTCAGTGAGTGCTTAAGTGTTTTGTATTGGGTATCACTGGAAAAGGGACAGAAACTCAGGTCTTCCCTGTCCCAAGTAAGTGCCCTAATAGGTATGGTATAGAATCATGCCTTCTTGCTTTCTCACTGACCAATGACTCTTCAATTATTTCATACTGGGTGAATGAGCTTTGATGGGAAGGACAGAGAGAGCCTTACCCTCAGTTACACTGTGGATGGGTAGTTACAGCATTTGCTGGGGCGGCAGAAGATGCAGATTCAGATCTCCTCGAGCAAATGAGGGAAGTGAACCCGGGCCTCCTACATGCCAAATGGCCTCGCCAACAAGATACTGGATAACACTGGGCTGCCATTACTACTCTCTCGAGACTCCCTTCCTCTTTATTTGCTGCCTTGTTTTGGGTGTGGCTCAATTTAGTAGTTGTTGTCTGAGGATGCCTGTTGGATTGGGTTCTCCAAGTGAGACAGGTAGAAGAGCACCTGCTTCATGACTCCAGATGGGGCTGTGCTCAGGTGACTTCCAAGTCCCTATGCTCACTCTCTTTATAACTTACCCAATAGATGGGCAGTGAGGCTATTCCCATGAATATACTAATTTAACAAATTTAAAATAGCTGCTTTTATGGAAAAGTCTTAAAACTTTTACCTCAATGTGGCAGTTGCACTGCATTGGATCAGGAAGACATATTCGGCAGGATAACTCTCTTGTATGGTAATACTGACTAAGAAAAGCCATTAAATGCTGTATCAAGCTGATAAATGAAGGGGAGAAAGATGATAATTTTGCTAGAAGGCAGCTGACTGAAATAGCTTTACTCAGTCACTACCTGCATCTTTATCATGGTTTGTGTGCAGACCACCTCATCTGTGTCTCTAATCTATTTAGGGTGCATGAGTCATACAACGGGCTTATGTTCAAGGGGTAATTATGAGAGATTTGGGGGCTGGTTGTGAATGAGCTCTCTCCAGATTGCTTATGAGGAGTTCATGGTGTGACCAAGCCTTGCCCCTCAGTTCTTGTGTTGAAATCCAGAGCCAGTGATATCATTGTGCTCCAAGTGCCCTGGGCTTGTTAGCTAACACATCTGCTGAAATGATCGGGCAATATGCAGAGTGAGATCACTGTCTGGTGCAGTTGTTCTGATTCTGGCTCTCAGTGGGCATGCGGTGCAGAGGGTAGCATATTAGTGTGTGGAGTGAGACTGATATGGAAAGAGTGTTTTCCAAAGGAAACTGTAAGAGTGTATTATAGTAAACCTAGTGAGTCTTCAAAGAGAAAGATTTATTTATTATACAGACTCGGTTCCACCATCTGATACACACTGTATAAATGGGGTCCGAGTGTGCATGCGTGCGTGTGTGTTTTACATGAGCAAGCTGCTTAAATTGGCTCACACGTATGTATCGCAAGGCGTGTGGATTCTCTTATCAGCTCTGCCACATGCACGACTGACTTTTGCTTTAGCCGCAGCCTCTGCTGTAAATCACCTCTGACCCTGTTTCAGATATGCCTTGCTAGTCTGCAGAGTGCTAATCAGGTCCAGAACCCCCTGCCTCCCTTTAAAGAAATAAATACACGCACTTAGCATTACCAATCACAATATGGGCAAGTCGGCCCCTTCGCAGGGCTGTGCCAGGGAGCCCTGTGTGTCTTATACCCTGAAATGGAGAAAGGCTCACTCTCCCCTTACTGAAATTTGGAGCGGGGCTTGGTGCCACCTAGTTTATATACAATACCCGTGTGGATAGAAGCAGTTGCCCAGGAAGTGGGGGGAAACCCATGTGGCAGTGGCCCCTATTACATTTCTCCCTGATCCCGCACACTGTACTAGGTGCTTGGAGGACATGCCTGCTGGACTTAGCTGCTTGGTTGTGGTAGGGAAAGGAATACCTCCTTTCTGGATCAAGACTGAGCCCAGGTGGTGAGCTGCCAATCTTTGTGAGAACTGAGGCACTTCTGCATGTGCACAGGTAAAGAACATTTAAGTGCTCCAGGAACTGTGAAGTCCCAAGCGGCGGGGCATATGGAGTCTAGGAATGATGGCATTTAGGCACCTCTGGGGTTGTAGGAGCTGATGAGTCAGGTTTTAAGGATCACAGCTTGGAACTTAGGGCTGCCTATGTATGTGCTTGGGGAGCGGGGAGCGGGGACGGAGTTAATTAGAGTGGTTCCTGGAGAGCCGTTTTAATTAAAGTGTCACAGCCTTACATGTATTAAGCCACACACACATTTAAAAATGCTCTAACTAAAGTTCATGAACTTTAATTAAAGTGCCCCCACAGCCATTTTGAAATGTGGGAGAGCTGAATACACATGATACTGTGGTGATAGTTTCATAGTTTCATAGTTTCTAGGGTCGGA